TCCTTTGTGTTTGAATGATAGCATGTTTTCTAGCTAGGATTCTACATATGGAGCTTTCAAAATCTCATTACATGACTTAGTTTCAGAGTCATAAAACATATGTCTTGTTTATAAGTCACCTTCTTTGGTATACAGAGCGGCACTGGCTTTCTTTTCAGTTTGCAGAGCCACATAGTCCCATATGCTGGGACACCCAGTTCTCGCCAATCTCTCGACTTACTAACAGGATTGAAAGGAGATGGCATGTTCATGAATACTGCAGCTCATAAGTTTCATATTAACTAATTTTAGGACCCCAAGGTATATGATAATACCTTTCCATTTTAATTCCTATTTCTAAGATTATTTAGGAAATAGAATAGTCAAGAGAAAGCCAACTTTCCACAAATTTGGCTTGGTAGTAAATTCAATAAATACCTGTCCAAATCATTTTACATTTTATTTCTAGTCACAATTTTAGATGTATAATAAGCTTTTAGAGTCTTGGGTACTTACCTAAATCTTCACTTAGCTTCTTGTAGTCAATCATGTTTAATAGGCCTACAGCCCATTAAATATAATTGTAACCATACAGCCTCTGCTTAACAGTAAGTGGGAAAGAATGGATGCCACAAACCTTAATGTTCACAAAGCTTGGTTTAGACTGGCTTTTTACTGGAAAACTGTGTTCAGCTCTGGGCTCAAAATGCAGAGAAATTGAGGAGAATTTGGAAAAACTTCACTAAAGCCCTGAGTGGTTCTGGGAAATGGATACATGCTGTAGAAAATGACAAGTAATTTTTTTATGTGTCTATATAGGTGAAAAACAACTTTAATAAAGAGAATAAGTGAAGGTTTATTGTCAATTAGAGAATTTATATTCAACTTTGTCATAAGAAATTATTTTTTTTACCTCTAAAATTATTAAACTTGGACCTGAAATCCAGATATAATTATGTGTTTTTCTCTGAGATGCGTAAAATGGAGCCGTCTCAGGGAGCTGAGATGATTTACGTCCTTCTGTAACAATGTGGGATGAGACTGGGAGTATTTTCTAAACATTTTTCTCTTCCTAACTCTTGAGTTCTAAGTCTGTGGATTAATCAGTTTTCTGTTGCTGTGAGGAGAGATTCATTTTCTTAGATGGCTTTACAGTGATCTCCTAGCCCTCCTGTTTTGGACCTCTGGTAGGGTAAGGCATCATAATAAGGACATTACGCCTGTATCCCTGCTTCCTTCCGGAAGGTCCTACTTCCACTAATGGTCAAGATTTGAGTATGTTGGGCCTTTAGGGGACATTTAACATCCAAACTGTAACATTCTTGTAGCAAAATACACAGGCTTATGTCTGTTTAAAGACAAACAATGTTCCATAAAATCCATATACAAAGTGGAATAAATTACAAAAGGCAGCTGTCATTTTTTGCTGCATTAACACGATTTGTGTGTGATTCCAGATAAAGCTATAAGGACCACACCAGTTGACCACAGATTACAGAAGAGTAAAAGCTAACTGCATTTACTATAAGAACAATAATAACATTCTAAGATACAACTTCAGGGAAACGGATAAGCTCAAATAGAAGGCAATCTGAAAGTACAGAGAGAGAGGCAGTTTCTTCAAAAGTCACTCAAGTTACAGGCCTGAGAAGGCAGGGAGAAGGTGACATTTGTCTTTGATGATTCCCGAAACTCAGATCTTATGCTTTGGGTATCTTCTTACTGCCACCTGACTGTTCAGAGTTATATCTGAATGCAAGTACTTTGACTCTTCCTTTTCTACAATAAAGATACAACATTTTCTATTAGCCTTTTTTATTCCTATAATTTTGAATTAAATTATTTGCTGATCAATGTCAAAGGGTAGTATAACTTTAATAGTTGCATGTCTGTTTTTGTTTGCTTATTTGTTAGTGAAGAATTGAAGGGATAGTTTCTTGCCATGTTAGTCAACATTAGGTGTCTACCTTTTCTGTGCATTTAAAATATCATATGCAAAGTATTGAACACATGAAACCACTGGAGTAACACGTTAAACACAATCCAGTCTACTGTTCCATTCTGATATATGTCAGAATAAGGAATGCATATGTATACTTATGTCTAAAATTAAGCTAGTCTTCTAAATATTCTTTCATAATTTACTATTTGTGATAATAGCAAATAGTAATAGCAAAAGAAAACTATGCCTTTTATTTAATCATGGTTGCCAGTCACTAACATCACACTGAAAATAGTTTTGTTCTAGTATTAAAGACAACTTTTTATACTGTGAACAATGTAACCCTGGTTGACCAGGTACACCTTATATAGTTCAGGACAGCTGGAATTCAAAGCAAGCCTATCTTAGCCTTCTAAGAGATAGGATTACCACAACCAGATAAAACAACTCATCAATTATCTATCTATAATGAAGAATATAGCTTTCTTTGCTTTATTTATTTACCATAAATAAACATTTCATAGATTTGAATCTTAAGCAGTATTAATGGTATATAATCTCCAATTATTACATGGGACATTTCAGTACATTGAGAATTGTTTAGTCCACCGCCATGGCCATACCACCACCCTGTACAACCACCATCACCACCAGCACCATCACCCCAGTATTTAAAGCTCCATTTTTTGTTTGCTAAAGTACACTGCTTTTGAGGGCACAAGAAACTATTGTTTGCAAGGTAGAAGCTCTTAGGAAATGCTTTACAAGTGGCCAAATGTTTGTAACTAAGAATTGTTGCATAAGACAGATATTCTCAGGGCAGATGTGAACAATGAAATGTGCAAACTTGTAATGAATCTTAAGTACAGAATGCAACTTATGAGTTCTCAATTACATCAGGTAACAATGATCCTTAATATTTGTTTTGCATTTTTAATGATTTGGTCATTGAAATAGCTCCTAAAGTAGAAAAATGGACATTATCATATCTGTCTGATACATGATACCCAGTATTATAGGATTTATAAATACCAATAGCCAAATTTGGTTGAGTTTTAACATCTTTCTGAGGAATCTGACCTCAAGCTCTTTCCTCAGTAAATACAGAATCCAGGTCATATCATTTTATTAGGAATAGTCTCAGAGTTAGGGCTTTTGCTGCAGAATCTAACACTCATTCTAAATATGGTTCACATGCATACTGATGGCAGTTCTATATACAGCCAGTCTTTCCATAAAGAAGGATAAAGACACAGGTAGATAAGGTCTTCAAGAGACACAGCTCTGTGTAAAATGCTTCACACAGTCAATTTCTCTCCAATGGCACTCACAACCATAGAGAGGGGCAAGGTCAACAAGGGAAATAGGAAACTACTGGTTGTAATGTCTCCTAAGTACAAGCTTACTGGGTCAAAATGAAATCTTTTCCTGGGATATCAAATATACCTCATTTACCAAAGGAAATAGTACAGACAAATTTACCTAAACACTACTTTTCCCTGCTTGTATGAACTAAAGGGGTCTATTCTGTGCAATGAAAAACCAATGTTCAAGGCTAGTGCCAGGCTATAGGGAAACATGGGCTCTGGGGTCAGAAATGCCTTTGGAATGCCCCATCTTTAGTGAAATAATATCACAAAAGTCACTTCACCTCTCTCACACTCTCCTTTTGTGTAAAATGGTCCATGTTTAGCATTCCAGACACATCACGTACAAAGCTACAAAGACCAGTAGCATGGCCTTACTATGTTTAGATCATAAAAACAGTTACATAACTCTGATAGTTAATTTATAGTGGTTTGAAGGATAGCTGTGAGTCAAGCTGGACATTATTCTATCAGGAAGCAAATCCCAGGGTATTATGGAAATGTTTGCTATTATGAGTAAGGTATGGATTGAAAATTGCTATAAAATCACTTACACATTGAAAAAACTTAGCCATTGAACTTATAAACTTAAATTTATTTGTAAGCTATAAACATGCAAGTATGTGTCATGAGTACCTCTTATTCAGCTACATATAAGTTAATACTTAATAACCTAGGTGGATATACTAGAAGATGATTTTATGATGCCATGCACTTCAGTGCTTAAGGATCAAATTATAATGCTTTGTTCTCAGCACAAACAATTTACTTGTCTCAGTGAGCTGTTAATTTTCCTGTATTTAGACATAATAACAAATATTCTATGAGAAATTTTCTTTGTCTTTGTGTTTCTCCAATTAGGAAGGTTCCAGAGAAATCAAGGACTATTTTATTGTGACATTCCTAGAACAAATCATTCAGGACTTAGAAATAGATATATTATCTTTCCATTATTCAAACTCTTCTTTTTGTTTACAGACACAATCAAATGAACAAATGAACAACAACAATAAAAACAAAAACCCACTGTGATCTGCTAAGTTACAAATTAATGACCTTTCCTCATCTGCTTATATTTCCAGGAGCTGCCATTAAATGTAAGATGAAAATCACTTCACTCCGTACGTAAGCTTACTGTTTGTGTATTATAGATCATGGCTCTTTATCAAGACTAATAATGCAGTTTTACTTTTTACAGGAAATGGAAACTAAAACCTTGACAAATGGATGCAAGCATTTGAAATGGCTCTCAAATGAGCAGTGCTGAAAATTGATCTGGTTCCTTGTCAATTGCATCATTCAGAGATGGCATCAGCAGCAAGGCTGCTGCAAACACTGGCATGCGGCCCTTCCCATGCCATAAATAAAATCCCACTCTGCAAAAATATAACCATCTCCAGGTCTGCAACTTGAACCTTGAAACCTAATTATGGAACATTTTACCAACTTCATCAATAAGGTCTGGACCAGGTTCCACATAAAGACACAGCAATCAGTACTGATAGAACATGTTATAGCTTGTCATTACCAGTGTGTCATCCTAGAAGACAGTTGGCTGCTGACTGAGACAGTTCTTAGGATATGTATTTCTGATTTTGTTTTTGATTCCTTTTAGCTAACTGGAACCCTAAGCTGGAACTTATCATCCACATCATATTGTTTTCTCCTCTTTAGACAGTCCCATCAATAGGAAAGACATCATGCCTCTTTACCTGGGGGGTTATGCTCATTGAGAATCACAAGCGATGCTGGTGTAGGTCTTCTTTTCCTGATCTGTGGACAGCAAAGGCACAGTTGATGTCAGAGTGAGAATGAGACACTGGCCTTCTACAGCTTGAAAAGCTGCCCACACTCTGCTTTCCCCAACACACATGAACAAACTTCTAGAAGGAACATCATGAATGCTCACTATATATTTTAGAGCACAGGAAGCTAGCTAGAACTGCCAGGTATTACTAACACCTTTTTTGTTCACAAAGTTACATTTCCAAAGGAAAACATAATAATAGTTGTATCATCAAAATACACAAGTGAAAGTAATCTGCTGTAAAGTACAAGGCCGGCTTTCTTATTTTAGTGACTGTGGTAAAGTCCCATGATATTGGCAATGAAATCATGGTCCCTTGCCATCATCTAAATGAATCAAAAGGAACTTGGAAGCCTCAAATTTCTACTATATACTGTAATTAATTTGTGAATGAAAGTTTTAGATTTCAATTAGTATGACAAAATTTGTACTTTCTAATACTTAGAACAAAGCGGCAGGTCAACAAAAATCCAGATCTTAGAAAAATGTGTATTTTAGTTCTTTCAGTCAGGGTTAGGGTAATCAGACTTAGTGGGTTAGAAAGAATAAAAGGGAGAGAACATGACAGTAAGAGAGCATATTAGTGGGTGTTAATAAAATGGGAGGGGGGAACTATGTAGCTACGATTAAGATATATTTTATATGTGCATGAAATTGTGTATAAATAAGTAAAGGTTACTCAAAAGTGTAGAAGAAGAAAAAATAATATATATACTTAATTGAAACTAACATTTGGTGGGTCCAGCTCCTTGTTATAAGAATTACAGGAACATGTTATTACTAGACTCTCTTGCTTCAGGCAGCCTTTAGTCATTCAATGTATCAGTTCATAGTTAATTCCCAGAATATTTGTCCATAAAGGATAAGTGTACAAATGATGCTGTTCAAGATGGAAGCAATGCTCAGGTTAGTAAACAGAACTGGTCAAGTTTATATTTATCTGGTCCAAATCTGGGTGGTTCTACTATCAAAGTATCATATAAAGTAAGACTCCCGGTGTCAATACTTATTTTTAAGGCTTTGTACCAACTATTTAAAACAGGATTTGGGGATCTTCTGGGTTTTAAGCAATTAATGAATTAGACTGGAGTTCCATTTTCCTTGCTATTCACAAAGTACTCCATATTTGTTTTTATGTCACATGACATCTTTTAAGTGGGTCCATTGTACCCAGAGTTTAAGCAAATATGGACATGATAACAGTTAGAAACCAATAGCCAACATAGAAAAGGATACCAGAAAAAGTAGTGTATTATTTTTCATATCCATTGCTCATATGTAATATACAACTATAGTCTAGGATATGCAATAAAAACACATAAAAATATGACACCTATAACTCTAAATTTACATTTCTTTTTATTTTATAAATAAAATAGAAGACGGACAACTTTTGGTAATTTTTCACACTTTCTCTAAATACTGAAACTGTTACTTTAAGAAGCTGAAGCCAGCACATATTGCTTCAGACCAGAATGTCTATTACACTGGTATTAATTCTATATAGAATGAAGTGTGGCTCAAATCTTAGTCAATTGTTCCCCGGTGCACCCCAAACACAAATGCAAAAGCAGACTCGTTTCTTATCCTAAAGTCACAAAATTAGGCAAATGCAGAAAGCCGAGACCCTTTCACCTAGTTAGAGCGTGTGCCCTTATTGCCCAATATCCAGAAATTGCTCCCCATCCGCTCCTCCTTACCTGCTCTGCCGCCTCTGGAGCAATCTGACTCTGGAATAAAGGCACAGCAAATTGTATCTTTTTGGGACTGTTGGGCTCCATGTTAATGATGAGAATAATACAGAGTGATGAAGCACTCCAAAGGACAAACCCCAAGTGGTATCCGGAGTGTTCCTGGGGTACACTTCACCAAGCCACACACGGCACTTTGTAATAAATCTATGTAAGTCCAGCCTGAGAACTGAAGATGTCTTGGTTTGAGCAACTCCCTTCTTCAGTATCCAGTAATGCCTGGCTTGCCTGATCCCCCACGAATCTTTTGGATCCTCTCAACACAAATGAGAGAGGAAGAATAAGCTAATTGTGTCCCTGTTCACTAACACACATGCCAAGCTTTCACTCAGCAGCTAATTGAAATTGCAATGCTAGCCTTGAAGGGCCTGCTGCCCTGGGATTTAAAAGAAAGGCTCTATCCACTGTACATTACTAACCGGCTGCTCAAAAGTGCAGCGTAAGCTCCCTCTGAGCATTACAGGGATGGGTCATTCATTATTGATGGACATAAAGCAGGAAGTTTTCAGAGCTGGGGGCAGGGCCTGGGTGTAGGATCATGTCATTTCTTTGTAGCAATTTCTAAGTCAGACATTTTTGCCATTTCACACTCAGCCACCACACACCACATCGATGAATGGCTGTCAACAGTAAGTCACGACCAATAATATCACCCATATCTGTGCTTCAAGAAATGGTTAGGATAGCACTGCCCCAGGGCTGAGCAGATCTTAGTTCAAGTTCCATCATTAATACCTATGGCCTCGAGCAAATCATAGCATATGTCTAGGCCCCCACCCTTTCGATGGAAAAGGGGGAGCGTTAGATTAGATGACCTTTAAGCTCCCATTCTCTTCTCATATTTCGTAAGTACAGGCCATGGTTTTAATCTGAGTAGAAAGTATTGAACAGCTAAATTTAGCAAACAGCTTGGAAGTCACTGCTCTTTATTTTGTTCCTGATGGAGCCAGTTACAGCCTCTGACTTGGAAGAACCCAGAAATGAGTGGAAAACATTAGTGGAAACCCAGGCATGTCTGACACTATGGCTTTTGTCAATTATGGGGTTGTATGCAAAGATGAAGATTTGAAGAAAAACCTATGAAGGATCATCTTCAGAAAGACGATGAATCAAGTGGTGGCTGTGGTCACAGGAGACACTGACCTGATTGTCTCAAGTAATAGCAAGCGGTAGACAGCCATATCAGCAAATAGGCTTCACATAAGTCACTGTTTATGGAAAGAAGCCTGAAAATGAGTCTGCCTCAATGGAAAGAACAACTCCAGATCTTTCCTTTTCCATTTGAACGGTGTGATTTGATGACTACTAGATTTTAGAATCTAGTTTTTAGATTCATTAAATGCATTTTGATACAGTCTAAAATTTAATGAAGTTCCCTTTAGTTTGAAAGTCTGCTTCCATAACAGAAATACATATCAATGATTTAATCATGCATTATCATGCAAAGTATATTGAAAATATTATACATTATGTAAGTAGTTTGCTATATGTGCTAGAGAAAAAGCAAATGGTGACTGGAAAGTAATTTTGGAGAAAAATGTTGACATCAAGAAATGTTGCAGAGGATTCATCTCTGTAGAGAAGAAAGGAAACTTACAACTCAAAGATTTTATGGCAGCAATTACAAAAGGCCTTAGAAAGAAAACCTTCATAGAAGTTATTCCTCTGAATATTGCTTTAAATCCCTAGAAAAGGCACATAGGCTTTTGGTAGGAAAGTAATCCAGAAGTTGCTCAGCAGTCATCAAGAATTTGTACTTGGTAACCCCAAACTCAAACCCTTGCTCTGCTACTTACCAAGATGAACAACTCAGGCCATGAAAGAAGTTTTTTGTTTTTGTTTTTGTTTTGTTTTGTTTTGTTTTCCCTGTGAGGTTTAGAAAAGAGCTGCTCATAACATCAGCCTGTAGCCACTCTACGGAAAATAGCAATTACATCTTTACTGGATTTTTCAAAGAACTTAATGATGCACATTTTTAGCATGAATTGCTAAGAATCTATACTTACTGGAAAATTTAATGCTAATAAGAAGAAGAGATGATAAAGTGAAATTCTATGTGTATGTTATAGGATGAAGGTTGTTCACATGTGTGGGCAACAGTGGATGTGTGTCTGTGCAAATATGCATGCACATGTGCACATATGCATGTGGGATGCTGGACGGCATCAGGATGTCTTCTAGATAACAATCCATTTTATATGTCGAAGCAGCCTCCCACTCATGCCTTGAGCACAATGATTCAGCTAATATAAATAGCCAGCCTACTCCAGGGATGTAACATGAAAAATAAAAGACCCAGAGACTGATAATGGGGTTCAAGCTTCAAGCCTAGGATCAGAGAAGCAAAGCAACCAAGAGCCCTTACCTTTACCTCGGGCTGAAAGAGTTGATCATGTCTCCACGAGCTCTCCACCAAGGCTCTGACTTCCACCTCCACTCAGTGTGGCTGGAGAATCAAACTCCACATGGGATGCTTTGCTTTTCTACCTACCTAGTGCTGGGATTAAAGGTGTGTGATTCCAAGTGCTGAGATCATCTTTGTGTGAAGTGTTTCTCTTCACTCTTGTGTAGGTCAGGTGACCTGAACTCATACAGATCCATCTTCCTGTCTCCTGAGTCCTGGGATTAAAGGTGTGTGCCATCACTACCTGGCTAGCTAGTATGGCTAGCTAAATGTATGCATAGCTAAAGCTATCACTGCTGCCTAGTCTCTATAGCTTGAGGCTCGTTTTGCTTTCTGAATCCTCCACCAAGCTTTAATATATCATAAATAATATATCACCGCAATTACCATTTTTTGCCTAATATAAAAAGAAGGCTACAGCTAACATAAAAAAATCTATATACAAGTACAATAATATATACAATATATACAGGTAATAATTACCAATAATGTCTAGTCCATTTGCAATTGAGAAATTTAGAGAAAATATTCTATTATCTGCCCTATCTTGGTGAGTCTAAAGTCTTGTACCTAATTTACTTTCTATTCTAATTTTCATTACCAATTCAAAATTATTTGTTGATGTCTCTCAACCTTATAAACTTTGCATTTGTTTAGTGAGTTTCTTTCCTGAATATGGTAAACAAAGGAAAACTATAACTATCCAGCCCTCAATTCCCTCAGACACCCAAGAAGGAAATAATATTAATTGAGTAAATAGGAGTTGCAGGCAAGCAACTATCTTTAGTTAATCTATTAAAAGGGGCACTAAACTGACGAAATGGCTCATCAGTAAAATACTTGCTGAGTAAACCTGAGGACCAGAGTTGAGATCCCTATCTTCCATGGTCCATGTGAATGTCTTGTGAGCATGGTGTGGGCCTAAACTTTCAGAGTGTGGAATGCAAAGATGAGCATCCCTGTGTGGTGATAGTACCTAAAGAAACTTTCTGGACCTGTTAAGATTATTATTCTTCATCAGTACAGCCAGCTTCTGTGTACTTGTCAGGACTCAGCCCATGTCCCCTTGCTTTTAGGAAAATGCTATGGATTTGTGTTTACCCAAACAGGGACTGGTGAGGTACAGCAAAAGGGGCGAAACCATCTCTCCTATCAAGATAGAGCACTCAATATACCTCCACATAGCACAATAGCTACCTGTCTCTCTCTCAATTATTTAACATTTTGAAAACCTATTCACATAACAATTCAATATCATTATTGCTAAGCTTTTTTGCTGTATCATTAGAGGAGAGACTGTGCTAAAAGGTTTCATTTGAAATCCATTTAAGGCTAAATTGTTAGGCCTGGAGACATGCCTAAGCAGGTATGAGAATTTAGAATTGGTTTTCTAGCACCAATGTTGTGGCTTATAATAATCTATAACTCTAGTTCCAGAGGATCCAGTGCCCTCTTCTAGCCTCTGAGAGTACTGTAAGCATGTGATGCACAGATACCCATGCCAAAAAAAAAAAAAACATATAAAATAAAAATAAATCTTTAAAGCTAAACAGTTAATCTAATCATATAATGTAAATAAATTTAAATTTAAAGTGATTGAAAAAAAAATTCACCATGAAGTTTACCAAACACTGAAGGTTTAATCACACACCAGAGCCTCTGGTTATATGAAAAGGTTAGGTGTATTTATTTTTATTAGCGATAATAATAATGACAATAACAATAAAGCTACCCTTGTAAGGTAGGTACTATTTCCATTTAGTATTCTCAGTACTATGCCTCTCTCTATTAATACTGATGATGGCCACTTTCAGTTTGCCCTGTTGCTATCTAATCCTCTCATTTCAAATGAGAACATTGTGAAACAAAGAGTTTGGGTGATTTGCTTAAGTTCTTCTAGCTAATGAATGGCAGATACATTTCAAACCCTGGATTTTATCACAAAGCTGTAGCTATATTCTAATGCAAAGGCTTTTGGAACAGTTGGTAGATGACACCAGAACCTCTATAGACACCTTGTGTTCTAATACACAGACTCCATGGCATGTGAGCAAAAGAAGAAAGTGCATGACTGCAGGAATTTGATCATCATGAAGATCATCTACAGAGCTGATGTGGAGGTGAATTTCGTTCTTTCTCTTTTAAAATAGAGACAGATTCTACGAACAGAGATGTGAAGATGTCTAATATAATTTAAAAAAAAAAAGCCTACAGTATCTTTTCAAAGTAAGCGTTACTGTGGGTATAGATGACAAACAGAAAGTAAACATGGGTCTTACTTTACTCCATGTTACTAATCTGCCTGCTTTCTACAGGCTTTTAAGATCCTCATACTGGCTACATCACTGGTCCTTATGTGCCCTCTCATCTTGTATCTGGTAGACTTCCTACTCTGCCTGACTTACTTGTATACTTGTACCAAAGTAGGTTAGTCCTCCAATTCTACCTACTCTGAAAGGGATCTTCAGAATCATAAAAAAGAAAAAGAAAAAAAAAAAAAAAAAGGAAAGGATTCACTCAATTTACTTTCCCTTTTAGCTTGTAATTGTGTGCATTTAATGTCCAATTTGCATTGCTGTATGATTTTCCCCTCATATTATAAACTCTACATTTCAACACAAACACAATCAAGATGTTGTTTTCCTCATTACATAAGATCAGTTAGGTTCTACCTTTATTATAATGTAGGTAAATATAAAAAATTTCAATAAAAGGAATTCTCCTGAAAACATTAGTC